AAAATTAGTCTAGGAATCTACCTTACATGATTGATAGACTTGCGGTGTAGTGTAGAAAAGTAAGGAAGAGAAAATACTGGAAGGAAAGCGGTGGGGTAAAGTACTCATTTTTGGAAATTCTGACTTTGAAGTAAGAAAGAAGAGGTGTCTGCTAAGTGGTTAGATCAACCCCTGGAGAAATCAAGGCTACAGAAGTGGATTTGGAAGTTAATCACCTGAGAGATGAAATGCAAAAATGTGGAAATGGAGAATATCACATAGAGAAAAGAGTGATGAGGACACAGCCTTAGGGAATAATAGGAATTGAGGAGCCACAGTTGGAGAAGCAGGGCAGTGGCATCTGTGGAGGCAGGCAGAGCCCCACTTCTTTTGCTAATTCTGAATAATACAACATGACAAACACATGTGTCAGAGTGTTTCACAGATATACTGTGTAGTAATCCTGTTTCACGTCGGGAATGCTGTAGTAGGCAGTGATTCTATTATCCGTGTGGTCAAGCTTGAAGAGATCAGAGGGTGGCCAACAGTGCCTTCTGGGTGGCACACGCTAACACTTCCCCTGGTCTGCTCTGTTCCCATGCTCGGATAAGAGGCTCCCATTGAAGCTAGTAGAGAGTAAGAAAGCACTTGAGTGCTGTGAAGTGTTACACAATCTTCTCTTTTAGGCAACCCTGGCCATTGTGACACCCAGTGTGACAGGCAGGGGCTTGTAAGTTGCATCATAGCACCTTGGAGCACTTGCTCAAGGTACCAAGTTCCTAGTTGGTGTTAGCTCATCATAGAAAAGTGGCCAGGCTTATGTCATCTGAAGAAAGTAAACAGTTCAGCAACAGAAATAGTTCATATAATACAAAGTCACCAAAGCAAGCAATGCCTTTTTTTTTTTTTTTTTTTTTACCTGTGAGTGATATTGTATTGATTTAATACACACAGCTTATTTCTGTCCCAGGTTACAAACTAGCCCTAGGGAAATGGTGGAGCCAGTCATTTGGATTGCCCTTTACTGGCTGGGAATTAAATCATTACTTATTCCATTTTAGAATCACAAGTAGTACCCTAAGGCCTACTTTCCTAAGGATTAAAATCAAGGCATGGAAATGAAGAATCCAGGTGTAATTCTCAGATGCATGCAGATGTTGAGAATGCAGCAATTTTTCCTGGAAAGCTGTCACTGCAAAATCATCCTGCTCACGATATGCTCATTCCTAGTCCTCAAGCATGTCCAATTAGTCAACAAGTCTGATTTCTCCTTTTAAGATGGCACTGACTCTTGTTCTCCCTCCTCATGCCAATGTCTCCTACACAGTGCAGACAATTACCAGCTCACTCCCTGGGCTACCCTGGAACCTCAGATTTCCTCTGCCATCCTGCATGCTGCTACCAATTGCATTTTTTCCTTTCCCTCCCCTACTTCTTCTCTCTCTCTCTGTCTCTCTCTCTCTCTCTCCTTTTCTTTCTTTCTTCCTTAATTTTGGAAAATTCAGTCATTTCTTTATTCCAAACTTGAATTAGCTTTAAATCCATACAGAGCCCTCATGGTGGAGGAAATGTGAGTGGGAACTCTTTACCTTTCTCTTGGCTCTCATTCTGGGTGAAGCATTTATTCAAATACTTCAGAGCTGCGCCTCTTGGTGGAAATAGCTTTCACTTCCCTTCCTAACGTTCTCTCTTCTTCTTCTTCCCAAGTTATTTGGATCTTTTAAAATACATGTTTTTTCATAAGAAACCCATATGTATGGCACAAAATTCAAAAGGTATGAGAGAGTATTCATTGAAAAGTATGCCTGGCCTGGCACAGTGGCTTAGCCTGTAATCCCAGCACTTTGGGAGGCCAAGACGAGCAATCACTTGAGGTCACAAGTTTGAGACCAGCCTGGCCAATATGGTGAAACCCCGTCTCTACTCAAAAATACAAAAATTAGCTGGGCATGGTGGCTCGTGCCTGTAATCCCAGCTACTTGGAAGGCTGAGGCAGGAGAATCTCTTGAACCTGGGAGGCAGAAGTTGCAGTGAGCTGAGATCACACCACTGCACTCCAGCCTGGGCAACAGATCCTGGATTTCCTTTCCTAGAGGCAACCATTGTTATCAGTGTCCTGTGTTTCCCTTCACAAATATTTCTAGGTGGATATAAACAGTGCAACTTTTATTTAAAATTTTTTTAATCTTTTTTTTTTGAGAGGCATGCAATTTATTTTTAAGCACAAATGGTACATACTATACATGCCATTATGCTCATATCCTTTTTTTTCCCCCCAGAAATATACATCTTGGAAAATTATCCTTCTTAGAACACACAGAACTAACTTTATCTTTTTAGTGGCTCTGTGTTCATTTTTAAAATTGTCTTTTATGGACTAGGAATTAAAACATTATTTTTTCTATCTCACAATAACAAGCAGTGCCCCAAGGCCAAGTTGCCTAAGGATTAGAATCAAAGCATGGGAATAAAGAACCCAGCTGTAACTGTAAGATGCATGAAGACAGTGAGCAAGTCCATGGCATGGAGGTACCATAATTACCTGAGCCAGTTCTTTAGCAGAGGACATTTAGACTGTTTCTAATCTTTTGCTAGTAGGAACAATGCTACAGTGGATGCCTTGAACGAATGCCATTTTGCTCACATGAGAACATCTGCAGGATAAGTTCCTGGGAGAAAAATTGCTAAGTCAAAAGGTGAGTATAGTTTAAATTTTGATCCATATTGCAAAATTAGTCTCCAAAAATGTCTATTTTTCTTAATCATTGCATTTATTATATTACTCTTTTGCTCCCAAACGTTAGTGGATTCTTGCACTTATTTAATCTTCTGCTGTCTCCATGTTGTAATTTGTTTTATTTTTTTGAGACAGCGTCTTGCTCTGTCACCCAGGTTAGAGTGTAGTGGCACAATCACAGCTCACTGTTGTCTTGAGGTCCCCAGGACCAGATGATCCTCCCACCTCAGCCTCCTGAGGAGCTGAGACGACATGCGCCACCACACCGGCGAATTTTTGTATTTTTTGTAGACATGGGGTTTTGCTATGTTGCCCAGACCGGTCTCGAACTCCTGGGGTCCCTTAATCTGCCCACATTGGCCTCCCAAACTGCTAGTATTACAGACGTTAGATACCGAGCCTGGCCAAAGGTAGCGTTCTAGATTACCAAGATTCTTCTCAGCATTAATAGTCTGTGAACTTTTTATATTGTTTTGAAATATGAAAAGTTTGCAGTTTAGGAGAAAATAAACAAGTTTGAATAAGCTGAAAACATGTAGTGCTAAAAGAGGTCTTGAAAGCATCGCCTGGGAACTGGTTAGAAATGCCGACTACAGGATGGGTGCAGTGGCTCTGGCCTGTGATCCCAGCACTTTGGGAGGCCGAGCTGGGTGTGTGGCTTGAGCCCAGGAGTTTGAGACCAGTCTGGGCGACATAGGGAGACCACCCCCTGCCCACCATCTCTACAAAAAATTAAAAAAACTAGCCAGGTATGGTGGCATTCACCTCTGTAGTCCCAGCTACAGAGAAGCTGAAGTGGGAGAAACTCTTGAGCCCGAAAGGTTGAGGCTGCAGTGAGCTGTGATTGCCCCACTGCACCTGGTCAAAAAAACAAAAACAAAGACAAAAACAAACAAACAAAGAAAACACAGGAAAGGCAAATGCAGCCAGTTCCTGAAGGATCTTGGCTGATGGGTGAAATTTGGGTGGGGCCAGGTAGACTATTGTGTTATGAGTTAAATTGTGTTGCCCAAAAATTCGTATGTTGAAGTCCTAACCCCTCGAAATGTGACCTTATTTGGAAATAAGGTCTTTGCAGGTGATCAAGTAAAGGCGAGGTCATTAGGGTGGACCCTAATCCAATAGGACTGGTGTTCTTATAAAAAGGAAAATTTGGACAGAGAAACACACACACCATCTGAAGATGAAGGCCGTGGTTCAGGTGATGCTTCTATAAACTAAGAAACAAACCACCAGAAGCCAGAAAGAGATATGCAGCAGATTTTCCCTCTCTTCCCACAGAAAAATCAGTTCTGTCAGAACCTTGATCTTTGATCTGTGGCATCCAAAACTGAGACGATAAATTTCTAAGCCACACAATTGATGATACTTGTTAGGGCAGCTCTAGCAAGCTAATGCATTAGGTTATCAAGAAGTAACTCAGCAGTTAGGATACTATAGTCTTACATTTTTGACTTGCCAGAGACCAGTATATTTGTACATTAATACCACTAACTTCATTCTTAATATTAGTTCTTGACAATTTAAGCAACGCAAAGCAAAATACGACAATAATAGTAGAGAGTCTGCGGAGTGTGGTGCTGACATCACAATCCCAGTTCTCTGGGAAGCCTAGGTGGGAGGACCTTTCAGGGCCAGCCGTTCAAGAGCACCCTGGCCAACATAGGCAGACCCCCAACTCCACAAAAAATAAACATTAGCCAGACATGGTGGTGCATGCCTGTAGTCCTAGTTACTCACGAGGCTGAGGTGGGAGGATCACTTGAGCCTGGGAGTTTGAGGTTGCAGTGAGCTATGATTGCACCACTGTACTCCAAACTGAATGACAGAGGGAGATTCCATCTTTAAAAAACAAAAACAAAAAACCTAGAAAGTCAAGGAACAATTCAACATAGTGAGGAGAGAGGACGTATATTCCGTAAATAAACTATTCTCCAAAGTTAACATCCTGGACCGGGTGTGGTGGTTCATGCCTCTAATCCTAACATTTTGGGAAGTTGAGGCAGGAGGATGCCTTGAGGCCAGGAGTTTGACACCAGCCTGGGTCAACACAGTGAGACACCAGCTCATTAAAAAAATTAGCCAGGCGTGTTGAGGCAGAGGATCCCTTGAACCCAGGAATTTGAGGCTACAGTGATCTATGATTGTGTCAGTGCACCCCAGCCTGGGCAACAGAGCAATATCCCATCTCAAAATGAAGAAAAAAGGAGGGCTTATAGATGATAAAAGTAATGGAAAGCCACTTTTTAAAAATTAGCTTTTTGCTTTTATTTTTTTTCTTCTATTTCAGACAGGCAGTGTGTGACACCATAACAAAGTTTAGGGGTACACATCTCACACGTGTGGCTGAATACTCAGTCACCATGCTTATAAACTACAGAAGGGTCTGAATGAGTTTCTAGAGTAATTCCTAGTCTAAAGGTTTATAGTTCTATTTTCATGACTATTTTAGGAGCTAGAAGCATTAAATGTAATTAACGGTTGTGAAGAGCTGCAGACACAGGTATAACAAAGCAAGGAGGACACAAAACCTCAGAGAGGCAATAGCATACTTTTATTTCAATATCATTGCAAAATCTGTATATTTGTTTTGGCACATAATATATTTACTAGTCATCTTAGCTTTGTGAATTTTCTGATTGCTCTTTTTAAAAAAGATTACTGTATTTTTTCTAGAGACGGGGTCTTGCTGTGTTGCCTAGGTTGATCTTGAACTCCTAGGCTCAAGCAATCCTCCCATCTCCCCTAAATAAGGTACCTTGATAGGAGCTTCCAGGTTTAACTTTGGTTGAACCATTAACACAATTGTCTTTATTTTTTAGTTTTACTCATGTATGGCAAAGTACTGCTGCATTACACAGTCACATAGTATTTCACTCTGTTTTGCTCCTTAGGTTAATGACCACCTTATCTAGATTTTATGCTTAAAAGGTAAATACTGCCATTAGTTACTTGGAGTCCTCTTCACTTTTCCCCTTTCATCAATTTTATATATAAATATATATAGAGAGAGATAATATATATATTGTGTATATATATAGTGTGTATGTATATATAGTTTGTGTGTGTGTGTGTGTGTGTATATACATATTGTGTGTATATATACACACACACAACATTTACCACAAAAGGATATTACACTGGTAAAAGGAACATCTCATTTGGTCAATTAGCAGAATGTCTAACATAGACAAATTACTTCCACTTTAACGTGATTTTTTCCCCCACTTCTGAGACAGATTCTATGTTGTGGGAGAAAAATAGTAGGGTTGGTGAACATAAATAATACTACGTATAGTGTTTATAAGAAACTAGATGTTGTCTAACTTGAACATCAAAATAATTACCATAAACTAGAACACTTCTAGCTAACAGATGAAAAAACAAGGGGGTAAGTGCTTATTTAAAATCCTTCAAAAAGTAAGTAGAGGGCTGGAGTTCTGACTCCAGAGTTTATATTCTTGACAGCTTATCTAGGCTCCATAACAAATTGTCTGTGTACTTCATTTGTATAACTTTCCAGTCACATAAGTTCTCTTTCTCTCTCTCTCTCTCTCTCTCTTTTTTTTTTTACATTTTTTTGAGATGGAGTTTCACTCTCGTCACCCAGGCTGGAGTGCAATGGTGCAATCTTGGTTTACTGCAACCTCCACCTCCCGGATTCAAGCAATTCTCCTGCCTCAGCCTCCCGAGTAGCTGGGATTACAGGCCCTGCCACCCTGCCCAGCTAATTTTTTATTTTTAGTAGAGATCGGGTTTTATGATGTTGGCCAGGCTTGTCTTGAACTCCTGACCTCATGTGATCCACCCGCCTTGGCCTCCCAGAGTGCTGGGATTACAGGCATGAGCCACTGTGCCTGGCCATAAATCCTGTATATTAAACAAAGCAGCAATGAAAATTTCTAGCAGTTTTTCCGTTAGCGCCAAGTAGCTGAAAGACATTGAACTAATAAGATGTTTTCTGCTATGACCTTAAGGGTCATTAAACCTAAAGTTATTCTTCAGAAGGGTAAGGAATGCCAAAAAATAATGGTCATTATCCGAATTTAAGATCCTGTATTACAGAAGCAATACAAATTATAAAATTAGCATTTAAAATGTTTGAATCATTGATAAGAATTCTTCCTACATAATCTTTCATGGGCTTCAGGAATACATGCCTAGTCAGGAAAACCAACTTCACTCAGATACGAAGTCGCTTCTTTGTGTCAGTTTACCATCCGGAGCAAAAGTGCTTAGCCACATCATTTGAGAACACTGGAAACCACGCAAAGCTTCTCTTAGTAGTATTGAGTCACAAAGATGTAGGATTTATTAGTCAGCCTTTAAAAATATCTGCAGACAACTGTATGAAAAACTTGCCACATTGTATAATCCTTAGGAGTATAGGATTTGTCCAGGAGTGGTGGCTCACGCCTGTAATCCCAGCACTTTGGGAGACCAAGGTGGGTGGATCATTTGAGGTCAGGAGTTCAAGACTAGCCTGGCCAACATGGTGAAACCCCGTCTCTAGTAAAAATACAAAAAAAAATTAGCCGGGCGTGGTGGTGCATGCCTGTAGTCCCAGTTACTCTGGAGGTTGAGGCAGGAGAATTGCTTGAACCCGGAGGTGGAGGTTGCAGTGAGCCGAGATCGTGCCACTGCACTCCAGCCTGGGTGACAGAGCGAGACTTTGTCTGAAAAAAAAGAAAAAAGAAAAAAAGAAATACAGAATTTGGTCAGACTGCCAAGGTTTCAATTCCATCTCCATCTTTTACCAGTTCTGTAATTTTGATGGGGGCATTTAGCCCCTCTGTCTCAGTTTTCTTCTTGGTAAAAAGGGCATACAATTGTATGTATCTCATAGGGTTGCTGTGAGAATTAAATGGGCTAATGCACATAAAATTCTTCCACAATGTCTGGCACATAATAAGATTAGCTCAATAAATATTAACTATAATGGAACAAATGAGAACCAATATTGTAAAACCTGCTTCTAACCAGTATAAAGATGAGCAACATTTGGCTTTGGATTATCCTAAAGAAAAAACAGTAAGCAGAAAATCATACCTTTTAAAAATATGACACCAGGAGCAATGAGTGGCTCATGCTTGTAATCTCAGCAATCTGAGAGGCTGAGACAGGTGGATCGATCAAACTCAGGAGTTTAGGAGACCAGCCTGGGAAACATAGCAAAACCCCATCTCTACAAAAAATACAAAAATTAGTCTGCCATGATGGTGTGTGCCTGCAGTCCCAGCTACTTGGGAGGCTAAGACAGGAGGATCACATGAGCCCTGGAGGTTGAGGCTGCAGTGAGCTGTAATCATGCCACTACACTCCAGCCTGGTTGACAGAGCAAGACACTGTCTGAGGGTGAGTGGGGTGGGGGAAAAAGATGAGCAACGTGTTAAGAGGACAAGTAATTATAAAACTGAGAGAAGAAACTGCATAGAGCCAAAATATATTTTCCCTGAGCTTGAAAAAATGGCAACTCTTTATTTCATCAATATTCCATAACTTTTGCTTATGCTTTTTGGAGCTATCTTAGTAGGGTGATATTGAAAGTAGTCATCAGCCAGGCGAGGTGGCTCATGCCTGCAATTCCAGCACTTTGGGAGGCCGAGGCGGGTGGATCACCTGAGGTCAGGAGTTTGAGACCAGCCTGGCAAACATGGCGAAATCCCGTCTTTACTAAAAACACAAAAAAATTAGCCATGCGTGGTGGTTCGTTCCTGTAGTCCTAGCAACTTGGGAGGCTGAGGCAGGAGAATCACTTGAACCCAGTGGGCAGAGGTTGCAGTGAGCTGAGATCGTGCCACTGGACTCCAGCCTGGGTGTGACAGAGTGAGACTCCACCTCAAAAATAAATAAATAAATAAATAAATAAATAAATAAATAAATAAATAGATAAATAGATAAATAAATAAAAATAAGGCTGGGCCCGGTGGCTCACACCTGTAATTCCAGCATTTCAGGAGGCAGAGGTGGGCGGATCACCTGAGGTCGGGAGTCTAAGACCAGCCTGGACAACAAGGTGAGACCCTGTCTCTACTAAAAATACAAAATTAGCTGGGCATGGTGGTGCATACCTGTAATCCCAGCTACTTGGGAGGCTGAGGCAGGAGAATCGCTTCAACCCAGGAGGTGGAGGTTGTGGTGAGCCAAGATCATCCCATTGCACTCCAGCCTGGGCAACAAGAGCCAAACTCTGTCTCAAATAAATAAATAAATTCCTGAATCTTTTTCCATGGGAATGTGGAAAATATGGATAAAGTGATTTATATGCTCAGTATAATTAATGAATAAACAGAAGTAATTCAACTAATTCAATTGAATTTAGTTTGTTCAAAAATTCAGTCACTTCTGCTTAAATAACTTTAAGGTTAAATTAATAAGAGTTGATGCAAATGCACATATCACTTAGGGACAAAGTTTGATTTTCCTTATTATTAAAGAATAGGGTCTTGATGTTATTCTCTCTCCTGCATTTAAAAATTGGAACAAATAAGGAACAAATGTCATCAATGTATTCTTATTTCAGTATTCTAAGAGAAATTAGAATATTGCTTTCAGAATTGATGTTTTGAAGCACAGTATTGTTGTTGAACATAAATAACGTATAGGTGACTATCAACCTGTTTCTCCATTCTTTAAACTGTACATAAACTGCAAGTTAAACCCAACAGTTCTGTGATAATTGTTGTGAAGCACAAGGAGAGAGAATCAATGTAAGGTCAAACATTCACATTAAAATTTAAAGAATAGGTCTGTTATCTGAAAGGATTCATAATGCTTCTTATAGATACATCTAAATGTGTTTTTGTACTAAGAAATATTTGAATCCTGAGTAGCTTAGATATTTACATGCTTTATGGAAAAGATGTGAACCAAATGATCTAAGTTACTTTCTAGCTCTGTAACTCTGTGACGCTTCAATGGCTTTTGCAGCATATTATTAACATTAGTGAATGTTATTTAAAAAGAAATAAACTTTTTACATTCAAAGTGGATGAGTTCTAAATATATTTTCAAATGTTATTGGGACTAGCGTTACTTTAACAGAAACTTGCTTTTTAAATGATTATTATATCATTCCCATTTACATTTTTCAAATGGAGATGTCGTCAGTTATTCCATAAATATTCTAAATAACAATAACAGCTCTAAAAGGGATAAATAGACCTTTAATATATATTGTTAAATAAGGATGTAAAATGTCTTAGAATATCTAACTCGATTCAGAAATTATATGATGAGTTAATGGGCTCCTATTTCCCCTTTCAGACAATATAATGACAACATGTGTTTTGTATGTTTTTTTCCAGAGGTTATTGGGGTTACATAAGTTTTTTAGCGGTGATTTCTGAGATTCTGGTGCACCCATCACCCGAGCAGTATACACTG